TTCACACTTGAAAAAAAACTAAATTAACTCTGAATATCGGTAGTTGGAACTCTGAGTTCATTGCTGTATACTCTAAGACAGTCATGTTTCGTAGTCCAAGAGCTCAAAATTACGGAGAGATAAGGTGCCGTTTTTAGTTGGGTTAGTGCTTAGTAGTAGAATGTTTCTTGTGTTAGGATTTTTATTGATAACCATGATATCTTGAGAACGTTGTTGAAGCACATTGATCTTACCAAGAATTATCGCAATGAATACTAAATAGTGAGTCATGCAAAAACAACAACTGTTTCATGAATACCATTACAAATTTAACTTTATTATTTGAAGTATACATCTATTTCACGTGTACATTTCCATCTGAAGTAGTCAATCATTGTTCTAAAAAATAAAGCCGGAATTGTGTGCAACGTGCACTACTTAAAATGAAATGTTTTGTCCCATTTCCTTCCAACAGTGCATGGAACAGTGTTGCATTCGAGCAGAAACATAATCCAAAAGTAATAAGCCTTTAATAACCGGATCCCATATAACTCATCCAATCATCCAAAATTTTGAAGGCTTCATCCATAGGTATACTTTGTTGTTTCCAAGTTTGTGTTTTTGAATAAGTAACCTGAGATAAGTTAAAGTTGTCAAAGCTAAGTTTACAAACCTTATTATCTCAAAATGAATTTATTCCTTGATTATTCAAAGCTCCAATCCCCGTACATAGAAAACACTTGATCATTACGACTATTTCTTTATATGGCATTACTTATATCAGTTCACATTTTGAGAAATTTGATTTAAATAATTCAAACAAAAGTAGATTCGATATTTGACATCAGAGATATAAAGACATGTCCGTTTAGATTATATGCGCGAACTTGTACTCTACCACTTGACAACTTGGTTAAAGAGACAGACAGCTAAACAAATAACTATAATTAGTCAAAAATTGTGTTCATACACATATGAGATTCAAGTGCATCAGTGTACAAATTCTTCCATATTGTATATTTTCACATGAATACATTGTTTTACATATGAAAGGAACACCTTATTAAATATGAATCATTAAAAATATGTTAAAATACAGTTTTTATTTTGGACATGGACGATTAGGTTTTGAGTCAGTAAATGATGAATATGCACATAAACGTATATATTATCGGATAAAAAAATGTATACCTACATTTAAGTGACACTGCATTTTCAATGCATTAGTACACTGTTGTAAACAATGAAATTGACATAGTGCATGACTTTATCATAAAGAAAAAATATATCTCAAATTTTTAAACACATATTTTATTAATTGATTCTTTTCTATTTAGATTAAATGTAAAAATTTATCCAACAGTCAAAAATCGAGGGTTATCGCCTTCGTTTTACTCGACAATAAAAAGTAGGTCGGTAGGTAGGTAGGTAGGTAGGCAGGTAGGTAGGTAGGTAGGTAGGGGATTGAACAAGTCAATTAAGTTGATAAATGTAAAAGAAAGTTTTTGTTTTCCATTAATTACCACCAAATAAAAAAGGTTTTGTGGCCAAACGATGGTAACATTAAGTAAAAGCATGCAATTGATTCCTAAGTTGACATTCAATGTAAAGGAAGAGACACTATTTATTTAGATAAATGAATAACTAATTATTATTCACTGAGTTTGTACATTATGTTTGTGTATTGTTTTTTTTGACATTAGACAGATGGATAGAGTAAATAAAGATGTAAGCAGATAGCTATCTAGATATATACTTTCTGTAGGTTAGAATTAGAGGGGAATAAACATATCCACATATTGTAGGTAATAATAATTCCAACAAAATAGTAAGTGCCACAATGCACGCACACAAACGCTCGCATTATTTAATTTTTCATAAATTTTTTTGACGTTATGTTTATCTTAAATTGTAGTATATATTTAAAGAATAGGAAATAATTGACCACTGTCAATATGTCACATCAGAATAAATAAACGCAAGAATGAGAAGCCACATTGGTTGACCGCTTCTGTTCACTTCTTATCATTCTAATGAAGAAAATAAGAACTTTAAGTCATAGAGATGATAGTATTCGATGTTGTTTAAGTTATTTTAACAGTAATGACTAGTTTAGTTTATCAACTCCGTACATGGAGCAACCACATCTAGATGAGATCATTTTTAAGCATGGAGAAATTGCCGTTGCATTTTGTCAATTCATTTTATTCGTTTTAAAAACTCATATTGATTTGTTTAGTTTTGCTCCAACTTCCTTATTGTTTGACAATGTAAAAATCATTAGTCAGTGATTTTAAAATCACTAGACGGCAATGTCAGAACAGTTACTGAATTTTAATTGGGAAAAGACTATCTTCTGACAGGGAAAGACTTCATCTGACTAGCTTAGAACATTTCTATCCGGACAAAGATACACTACACTTGTAATTAGATTGATTATCTGAGTCTTACTGTTTTTCTTTGCCATCTGTAATGAAGCTATCTCACATAATAATTTCGTCAAAATATACTGACTATAAGTACTTAAAGAATTTTTTTTATAGATTCAGGGTCAGAAAAGCCGTCAGGCCCCAATCACATTCATTTAAAACACCATGTGACATTAAGGAATACTCAGGTAAGTAAATTTATTGTATTATATTTCCTTCAGTCAATAGGACAAAAATGACAGACGATTCGTTGTAAATGCTATCAAACGGTAACTGATATTTATGCTAACAGATGAATCATATCAGACTATCAGTACTAATACTATTAAGTGAACTTATGTCTAAGTAACAAGTTCTCCTTAAGTATAAGAATACATTGGTTCATTTTTCTTACACTACAGTCGACACCAAAATTCAGACACTCATCAACAATCGAATACTAGGATTGAATGATAAAAAAATTCTTATTCTGCTAACAGATCAGATTTGTTTGAAGTTCATGAATCAGTAATGAAGTTCGGTCAATGACTGACTAATGATCAAAACATGGGATAGTCTAAACAGGAGGAATTTGTGTGAAAGAGTATAAAAATAATTGGAATTACTCTACGTTGTTCGATGTAGGTGATTCTTGTTCAGTATGGGTATGTCGTACATTGAATCCACCTGGAACCTAAATAAAGAAGGATGGTCAGGCCTGAAGTTAGTAGTTTAACCTTGTAAAAAGAACTTCTCTAAAAAGAGATAATGGCCAGAAAGCATCATTTAAAGCGCTTATGATTTGTTCCGAGAGTTGAAGATTCTTTAAATAGACGAGTTATCACGCTTCATCATGGAAGTCGAGAGTAGCAAAGCCGGCACCCCTTCTAATTACCAGGGCAAAAATAATATAGGAAGATGAAATATCCACTCACTATGGAAGACGGGCAGGGTAATTTTAATGGTCGGAAATCGGAGGTAGATATCAAGTGAATGGATACTACCTGGCAATAATTGGTAGGGAAAGGTCAGGATCACATTGATTGGTGGCTTATGCCCTAAGAGAGGTAACAGAAGTAGGTAAGTTTAATTTACAAAAAATTAATTCTAAGCAGTCTATAACCTAGCATAAAACGTTTTCAATTATCCATTAAAACCCATTCAGATGTAGGTCTTAAACTAGTATTAAATAAATATAAATAAATCAATAAATAAAGACGATCAACTCAGTATTTAAACAATGACATCATCATACTTATAGGTCAAATGTGAATTGATTTTATTGGACTTTCTAGTTTTACATATCCTTATATAAATAAGTGTTTATATGAAATACATTATAAACAATTAAGGTTTGGTCATACTAACCAATAACTAACTTGAAGCATGAATTCTTATAGGATCATGGCAAATTTAATTTAGGTATTGCAAACTATGAATGAACTTTTGTTCATGAACAACATTCTTTCAGCATTCACATGTGGTTATTTTCTTTTTTATCATATAACTTAAATGAAGGCAGAATGAGATTTATTTAATCCAATACATAAAGACTTTGATAGTTTAACGATCAGAAAAAGAAGTTAAATGATATAAAAAGCGTTTGACTTATTAGTATAGAATGAAAGATACTAAGTCATTCTATAAAGAAATAGTTATGGCATACAGTACTATGTTGTATATGGCATTGAAGTAAATAATTTCAGAAATATCAAAACCAGTGCTTTACACTCCATTTATTACAGCACCCAGTTAATGGTATATAAATCTCATATCTAGAAAAATTCTAACTGCCCTCTATGCTACTTTCATATGATTTATGAAAAAGTACGATAAGCTAAATTTAAACTTTCTTGGATCCGTTGGGTTTGTGTAAGCTTCGCTCACATTACTTACTTATACAATGTGCTAAAGCTGCCAATGAAGCGCTATTTTTCGATCTAACTATCGAAGGCTTAAATACGAGCTTTGTGACTTTTTCAGTTTGATCTTGCATTAGGTCTATTCTCTTCAATAAATCAGACAGGATTATTGGAAGTACTATGTCTATGTTATGCAGAATATTTATGCAAAAAAAAGGCATATTTGTAAGAATTTTTTCTTTTTTTACTGTTTGTCTCATAAATATTTGTATAAAAAAAATAAGCAGTTGAAAAAAGTTTATAAAGTTTACTTAAAACTACCTGTTGTGCAGTGTGCAAATAAATAAAAAAAATACAACTTGTATACGGACAAGAAAACGTTGTTATATGATAAACAAAAATTGTAACTATCACTCTTCCTAAAAAAACGTCTTACTGACGTTAATTGTCTTCTTGCTTGATAGGATTTAAAGGTCTTTCGTGTTCAATAAATTTTTCAGAAAAACAAAGTATACCTAATAGGATCAATTGGAATCCACTGATAGTTGTCTGAATATTGCATTATTTTAAAGTTTTCTGACTTCAATAATATCGATTAACATCATTTATCTGATGGGAATGACTGAACTAACAGTCCGATATGGAACTAAAACATTTTTTAAAAAAGATCCCTATCAATTTCTAATAAAAAAACTCAATTCAGTAAATACAACCGCAATGTTTATAATAATAATAGTTATTTTAAACTTACAGGCTTCTTTGATTTCTGTTGCATTGCTGATAACTTTCTTCGGTCGTTGTAGCTTAACCACTTTGTTCCATGCTTCACAATGACAAACATATGTATCAAACCATTCTTCTACATCTCGAGCTCTGACTTCTAAGCGTAGTTTCCAACGTTTACCTTCTGGATCTGGTAAATTGTCTGAGTTCAGCCTTTGAATCTCCAATGTTCCTGACTCACCGGGGCCTTTGTATGGTATTGTCTGTTCAGCACATTTGATAGCGGCATGTGAAACTGGTTCAGCAACACATTCTATTGTAGCTGGTTTATTTTTTGTTGTGTAATACAATGGTTTAGGATGCTGAATAAAGACAGGAACACCCTCTAAATGTGTTTCATCTGGTTGTACTAAATCCTCTTGTGAATCAGCTGGAAAAGGATAGGAAAGTGTCAAGAAAAGTTTCGTTATAGTTAGTAGAAATCTTTGTAGCATCGTCTTGTGAAATATTTTAAAATTGACTTGGTAATTCTAGTGCATTAAGTTTTAGGATCAAGTAATTTCACGACAAGCATCTTCAATGTGACTAGATGAGTATAGAATAGATTGAAATTTTATAAAAATAATTTTTATACATATCGTGTATGATATATACCAGAAATTCAGAAAATTGTGCTTACCATAAAACCAACCAATAATGGAATGATCTACTAACTTTGTATTAACCAATCAAAAAAAAGAATTCGCATACAAACAAACCAATCACCTCATTGAAACAACATATTTCCTTGAATCCAGTTAATGAGAAACCATTTATCAATCTGAAATCATGTTCAAATAACTATCAAAAATGCACCATCTAAAATCAATCTTTTTAGTTTAGATACTTATATTCAAACCATGTTGGAATAAATAACGTTTTTGTATATCATTTGACCACAGATATTATTGGAAATTTTTTATCGTAAAATACGTTATTAGTTTAATTCGTATAATTTGTATTAGGGAGAAATCGATTTTCCATCATGAGTTGCACATTCTAATCAGACATTTCGCTTCATAAAATGTATCGTTGTATAACTAAAGAAACCGAGTCCATAAAATGTAAACCGAAAAAACCATATAATAAAACGTCCGCATTATTTTGTTACACGAAAAGACTTGGAAGGTTATTACTAATGTATTCTCTGTAAACCGTGCAATTTCTTACTAGTATCATTTTGCTAGCTAATTATTCAGTCGTTCATATTTACTGTTTCTTGTTCATGCTATGAAATTCGGGTAAAATTTCTTAGTTTCAGTTATTTTACGGCTTGTTTAAGGAATAGACAGACAATTTATTTGTGGCAGAGTTATTTATATTTTAAATAAAACATCTGAAATAAGATACTATGATTCAAAATTTTGATTACTAGTAAGATACAGTTACGCACAGTAATGGCAGTTCGAAATGCATCCTTTAGTTTTCATACTTGCTGAGATCTTCTTTCAGTGTTATCTCGATAAGGTGTACTTCTTTCCAGTCTGTTTGTACTTGTTCTTCATCGCAAATCTTGTTGAACAGAGTGCTGGACATCTTTGCAGTTACTGCTATGTCTGTTTTCAATACCTCAACTTGTATATTGCCTGGTCCTGCTTCACCGCCCTTGATTAACCAGATGGCCATGCTGATTTCAATGTTTAATAGGTCAAAATCATTTGGGAGAACCGTAGGTGCGGCTTCGATGTTGGGTAGGTTCAGTGGGACTGTTCTATTCAAGAGTTCTTCAAAGTGCTCTTGTAGTGTGCCGATAACTGCGTGTTCTTAAGCTCCGTTTATAAATCAGAAGATGAACTCGTATTGATGAATACGTTTATTCGAGGCACACCACAAAGCGAAGCGGAGAAGCGAATTCGAGAAGGCTAAGAGCCAACTCAAAGAGATAGAACATGACTAAGAATATATAGTCAGATAAGAATAAGACAGACATGACAAGCGAAGTAGGTATGCACACACATGAATAAAAGCGAAGAATGATTGACAAGGTCAAATGCGAGCGATACAAATCATGTGAGTTCATGGGGAAATTAAGAGATTAACATTAAAGCGAAAAGGATGAGTAAGCACGTAGGCGTAATCAATGCTCAGTCGTATAAGCTCATACAAAGCAGATAATAAAAAATACCAATGGTACATACAAGTTGTTGCTATGCAAATGGCTTGGTTAAATAAATTAATCGAAAGGGCTTAACCAAGTTAGATGTGAGAGAACTGGAATATATGTGGAGGGACTACACTCTACCCACCTCTTTCACTGTTCTTGAATGTCAGTGATCGCTTCGCATCCCTTTTTGACTGGTGATTCTGGCTAACTATATTTTACAGCAAGCTTCTTCGTTGAAGCTTATTATTGACTCATGCTTCCTTCTCTTCCAGCTTCTTTTGCCATCATTGCTAGATCCTCCACATATTTTGCTTATCAGCTCTGATTCCCCTCTCCACTTCCTTCATTGCTTCTGTGATTCAGCCTATGTCTTGGCTTTGTCTAATCTTTTTTAACTGTTATTTATTGCTGTCTTCCTGTTCTGCCTTTCCTTACTCTTATCCAGAGGATCAACAGCAATTCATTCCTTGTGATGGTGCTTCTTGTGGCCCAAAACCATGTGACATGTTGAATATAACGCTTCTTTGATCCCTTTCCCAGTTGTTCTTCATTGTAGTTTACTCTTCATTAAGTAGATCGTGAAAGGCTTAAAATTTAGTACTTCATTAAATTGTTGTAATACCTTTCTTCCAGTTATTCAGTTGTTCTTGAGTATTAATTTCATTTTAACCAGTTCATTTCTTTGTTCTTACATTCTTCATGGTATTTCTGAATTTTAACTTTCACATTCGATGGATGTGATAAAGATCAAAAATGTATATAAAGTACAATCTCTTAAAGATGCATCTCATCCTGTATTCAGTAACTCCACATTAACTAAAATTATCTTATCATACATGATACAGTGGAGATTTCTGGCCAATACAGCTGAAGCACATACATAAATAAGTTAAGCTTGATCTAAAAATTACCTTGGGTGGTCTAGTCTGTAAACAGTCATTTGCTGTCCACGGATATTACGTTGAATTACATGATGACCGATTGTATTTTATTCCACTTTTGATGCTAAAACATTAGTTTGTATTTTTTATGAGAAAAGTGATGGCAAACGGAATTATTCTGTTGGTTTAGTCAGTCTACAAAGTTGGAGTAGATGATTTTTGTACGAAAATTAAACATGTTTACTGTTTACATATTACATAATGTACACATAGTGCGCACGTGAATTCTTCCTTTTTTTTTTTCTCCCTTTTTTGTTCTCTCCCCCCCCCCGGGGGGGGGGTGTGTTCTTAAAAGGGAGAAAAAAAAAAAGGAAGAATTCACGTGCGCACTATGTGTACATTATGTAAACAGTAAACATGTTAATTTTCGACAAAATCATCTACTCCAACTTTGTAGACTGACTAAACCAACAGAATAATTCCGTTTGCCATCACTTTTCGCATAAATAATACAAACTAATGTTTTTGCATCAAAAGTGGAATAAAATACAATCGGTCATCATGTAATTCAACGTAGTATCCGTGGACAGCAAATGACTGTTTACAGACTAGACCACCCAAGGTAATTTTTAGATCAAGCTTAACTTATTTATGTATGTGCTTCAGCTGTATTGGCCAGAAAGCTCCACTGTATCATGCATGATAAGATAATTTTAGTTCATGTGGAGTTACTGAATACAGGATGAGATGCATCTTTAAGAGATTGTACTTTATATACATTTTTGGTCGTTATCACATCCATCGAATGTGAAAGTTAAAATTCAGAAATACCATGAAGAATGTAAGAACAAAGAAATGAACTGGCTAAAAGCAAATTAGTACTCAAGAACAACTGAATAACTGGAAGAAAAGTATTACAACAATTTAATGAAGTACTAAATTTTAAGCCTTTCACGATCTACTTAATGAATAGTAAAATACCATGAAGAACAACTGGGAAAGGGATCAAAGAAGCGTTATATTCAACATGTCACATGGTTTTGGGCCACAAGAAGCACCATCACAAGGAATGAATTGCTGTTGATCCTCTGGATAAGAGTAAGGAAAGGCAGAACAGGAAGACAGCAATAAATAACAGTTAAAAAAGATTAGACAAAGCCAAGACATAGGCTGAATCACAGAAGCAATGAAGGAAGTGGAGAGGGGAATCAGAGCTGATAAGCAAAATATGTGGAGGATCTAGCAATGATGGCAAAAGAAGCTGGAAGAGAAGGAAACATGAGTCAATAATAAGCTTCAACGAAGAAGCTTGCTGTAAAATATTGTTAGCCAGAATCACCAGTCAAAAAGGGATGCGAAGCGATCACTGACATTCAAGAACAGTGAAAGAGGTGGGTAGAGTGTAGTCCCTCCACATATATTCCAGTTCTCTCACATCTAACTTGGTTAAGCCCTTTCGATTAATTTATTTAACCAAGCCATTTGCATAGCAACAACTTGTATGTACCATTGGTATTTTTTATTATCTGCTTTGTATGAGCTTATACGACTGAGCATTGATTACGCCTACGTGCTTACTCATCCTTTTCGCTTTAATGTTAATCTCTTAATTTCCCCATGAACTCACATGATTTGTATCGCTCGCATTTGACCTTGTCAATCATTCGTCGCTTTTATTCATGTGTGTGCATACCTATTTCGCTTGTCATGTCTGTCTTATTTTTATCTGACTATATATTCTTAGTCATGTTCTATCTCTTTGAGTTGGCTCTTAGCCTTCTCCAATTCGCTTCTCCGCTTCGCTTTGTGGTGTGCCTCGAATAAACGTATTCATCAATACGAGTTCATCTTCTGATTTATAAACCGAGCTTAAGAACACGCAGTTATCGGCACACTACAAGAGCACTTTGAAGAACTCTTGAATAGAACAGTCCCACTGAACCTACCCAACATCGAAGCCGCACCTACGGTTCTCCCAAATGATTTTGACCCATTAAACATTGAGATCAGCATGGCCATCTGGTTAATCAAGGGCGGTGAGGCAGGACCAGGCAATATACAAGTTGAGGTATTGAAAACAGACAGCAGTAACTGCAAAGATGTCCAGCACTCTGTTCAACAAGATTTGTGATGAAGAACAAGTACAAACAGACTGGAAAGAAGTACACATTATCAAGATAACACTGAAATAACATCTCAGCAAGTATGAAAACTAAAGGATACATTTCGAACTGCCATTACTGTGCGTAACTGTATCTTACTAGTAATCAAAATTTAGAATCATGTTATCTTATTTCAGATGTTTTATTTAAAATTTAAATAACTCTGCCACAAATAAATTGTCTAACTATCCCATAAACAAGCCGTAACATAACTGAAACTAAGAAATTTTACCCGAATTTCATAGCATGAACAAGAAACAGTAAATATGAACGACTGAATAATTAGCTAGCGAAATGATACTAGTAAGAAATTGCACGGTTTACAGAGAATACATTAGTAATAACCTTCCAAGTCTTTTCGTGTAACAAAATAATGCAGACGTTTTATTATATGGTCCTTTCGGTTTACATTTTATGGACTCGGTTTCTCTAGTTATACAACGATACATTTTATGAAGCGAAATGTCTGATTAGAATGTGCAACTCTTGATGGAAAATCAATTTCTCCCTAATACAAATTATACGAATTAAACTAATAACGTATTTTACGATAAAAAATTTCCAATAATATCTGTGATCAAATGATATACAAAAACGTTATTTATTCCAACATGGTTTGAATATAAGTATCTGAACTAAAAAGATTGATTTTAGATGGTGCATATTTGATAGTTATTTGAACATGATTTTAGATTGATAAATGGTTTCTCATTAACTGGATTCAAGGAATTATTTTGTTTCAATGAGATGATTGGTTTGTTTGTATGCAAATTCTTTTTTTTGATTGGTTACTACAAAGTTAGTAGATCATTCCATTATTGGTTGGTTTTATGGTAAGCACAATTTTCTGAATTTCTGGTATATATCATACACGATATGTATAAAAATTATTTTTATGAAATTTCAATCTATTCTATACTCATCTAGTCACATTGAAGATGATTGTCGTGAAATTACTTGATCCTAAAACTTAATACACTAGAATTACCAAGTCAATTTTAAATATTTCACAAGACGATGCTACAAAGATTTCTACTAACTATAACGAAACTTTTCTTGACACTTTCCTATCCTTTTCCAGCTGATTCACAAGAGGATTTAGTACAACCAGATGAAACACACTTAGAGGGTGTTCCTGTCTTTATTCAGCATCCTAAACCATTGTATTACACAACAAAAAATAAACCAGCTACAATAGAATGTGTTGCTGAACCAGTTTCACATGCCGCTATCAAATGTGCTGAACAGACAATACCATACAAAGGCCCCGGTGAGTCAGGAACATTGGAGATTCAAAGGCTGAACTCAGACAATTTACCAGATCCAGAAGGTAAACGTTGGAAACTACGCTTAGAAGTCAGAGCTCGAGATGTAGAAGAATGGTTTGATACATATGTTTGTCATTGTGAAGCATGGAACAAAGTGGTTAAGCTACAACGACCGAAGAAAGTTATCAGCAATGCAACAGAAATCAAAGAAGCCTGTAAGTTTAAAATAACTATTATTATTATAAACATTGCAGTTGTATTTACTGAATTGAGTTTTTTTATTAGAAACTGATAGGGATCTTTTTTAAAAAATTTTTTTAGTTCTATATCGGACTGTTAGTTCAGTCATTCCCATCAGATAAATGATGTAAATCAATATTATTGAAGTCAGAAAACTTTAAAATAATGCAATATTCAGGCAACCTATCTGAGGATTCCAATTGATCCTATTAGGTATACTTTGTTTTTCTGAAAAATTTATTGAACACGAAAGACCTTTAAATCCTATCAAGCAAGAAGACAATTAACGTCAGTAAGACGTTTTTTTAGGAAGAGTGATAGTTACAATTTTTGTTTATCATATAACAACGTTTTCTTGTCCGTATACAAGTTGTATTTTTTTTATTTATTTGCACACTGCACAACAGGTAGTTCTAAGTAAACTTTATAAACTTTTTTCAACTGCTTATTTTTTTATACAAATATTTATGAGACAAACAGTAAAAAAAGAAAAAAATTCTTACAAATATGCCTTTTTTTGCATAAATATTCTGCATAACATAGACATAGTACTTCCAATAATCCTGTCTGATTTATTGAAGAGAATAGACCTAATGCAAGATCAAATTGAAAAAGTCACAAAGCTCGTATTTAAGCCTTCGATAGTTAGATCGAAAAATAGCGCTTCATTGACAGCTTTAGCACATTGTATAAGTAAGTAATGTGAGCGAAGCTTACACAAACCCAAACGATCCAAGAAAGTTTAAATTTAGCTTATCGTACTTTTTCATAAATCATATGAAAGTATCATAGAGGGCAGTTAGAATTTCTCTAGATATGCGATTTATATACCATTAACTGGGTGCTGTAATAAATGGAGTGTAAAGCACTGGTTTTGATATTTCTGAAATTATTTACTTCAGTGCCATATACAACATAGTACTGTATGCCATAACTATTTCTTTATAGAATGACTTAGTATCTTTCATTCTATACTAATAAGTCAAACGCTTTTTATATCATTTAACTTCTTTTTCTGATCGTTAAACTATCAAAGTCTTTATGTATTGGATTAAATAAATCTCATTCTGCCTTCATTTGAGTTATATGATAAAAAAGAAAATAACAACCACATGTGAATGCTGAAAGAATGTTGTTCATGAACAAAAGTTCATTCATAGTTTGGAATACCTAAATAAAAAATTTGCCATGATCCTATAAGAATTCATGCTTCAAGTTAGTTATTGGTTAGTATGACCAAACCTTAATTGTTTATAATGTATTTCATATAAACACTTATTTATATTAAGGATGTGTAAAACTAGAAAGTCTAATTGAAATCAATTCACATTTGACCTATAAGTATGATGATGTCATTGTTTAAATACTGAGTTGATCGTCTTTATTTATTTATTTATTTATATTTATTTAATACTAGTTTAAGACCTACATCTGAATGGGTTTTAATGGATAATTGAAAACGTTTTATGCTAGGTTATAGACTGCTTAGAATTAATTTTTTGTAAATTAAACTTACCTACTTCTGTTACCTCTCTTAGGGCATAAACCACCAATCAATGTGATCCTGACCTTTCCCTATCAATTATTGCCAGGTAGTATCCATTCACTTGATATCTACCTCCGATTTCCGACCATTAAAATTACCCTCCCCGTCTTCCATAGTGAGTGGATATTTCATCTTCCTTTATTATTTTTGCCCTGGTAATTAGAAATGGTGCCGGCTTTGCTACTCTCGACTTCCATGTTGAAGCGTGATAACTCGTCTATTTAAAGAATCTTCAACTCTCAGAACAAATCATAAGTGCTTTAAATGATGCTTTCTGGCCATTATCTCTTTTTAGAGAAGTTCTTTTTACAAGGTTAAACTACTAACTTCAGGCCTGACCATGCTCCTTTATTTAGGTTCCAGGTGGATTCAATGTACGACATACCCATACTGAACAAGAATCACCTACATCGAACAACGTAGAGTAATTCCAATTATTTTTATACTCTTTCACACAAATTCCTCCTGTTTAGACTATCCCATGTTTTGATCATTAGTCAATCATTGACCGAACTTCATTACTGATTCATGAACTTCAAACAAATCTGATCTGTTAGCAGAATAAGAATTTTTTTATCATTCAATCCTAGTATTCGATTGTTGATGAGTGTCTGAATTTTGGTGTCGACTGTAGTGTAAGAAAAATGAACCTATGTATTCTTATATTTAAGGAGAACTTGTTACTTAGACATAAGTTCACTTAATAGTATTAGTACTGATAGTCTGATATGATTCATCTGTTAGCATAAATATCAGTTACCGTTTGATAGCATTTACAACGAATCGTCTGTCATTTTTGTCCTATTGACTGAAGGAAATATAATACAATAAATTTACTTACCTGAGTATTCCTTAATGTCACATGGTGTTTTAAATGAATGTGATTGGGGCCTGACGGCTTTTCTGACCCTGAATCTATAAAAAAAATTCTTTAAGTACTTATAATCAGTATATTTTGACGAAATTATTATGTGAGATAGCTTCATTACAGATGGCAAAGAAAAACAGTACGACTCAGATAATCAATCTAATTACAAGTGTAGTGTATCTTTGTCCGGATAGAAATGTTCTAAGCTAGTCAGATGAAGTCTTTCCCTGTCACAAGATAGTCTTTTCCCAATTAAAATTCAGTAACTGTTCTGACATTGCCGTCTAGTGATTTTAAAATCATTGACTAATGATTTTTACATTGTCAAACAATAAGGAAGTTGGAGCAAAACTAAACAAATCAATATGAGTTTAAAACGAATAAAATGAATTGACAAAATGCAAGGGCGATTTCTCCACGCTTAAAAATGATCTCATCTAGATGTGGTTGCTCCATGTACGGAGTTGATTAACTAAACTAGTCATTACTGTTAAAATAACTTAAACAACATCGAATACTATCATCTCTATGACTTAAAGTTCTTATTTTCTTCATTAGAATGATAAGAAGTGAACAGAAGCGGTCAACCAATGTGGCTTCTCATTCTTGCGTTTATTTATTCTGATGTGACATATTGACAGTGGTCAATTATTTCCTATTCTTTAAATATATACTACAATTTAAGATAAACATAACGTCAAAAAAATTTATGAAAAATTAAATAATGTGAGCGTTTGTGTGCGTGCATTGTGGCACTTACTATTTTGTTGGAATTATTATTACCTACAATATGTGGATGTGTTTATTCCCCTCTAATTCTAACCTACAGAAAGTATATATCTAGATAGCTATCTGCTTACATCTTTATTTACTCTATCCATCTGTCTAATGTCAAAAAAAAAACAATACACAAACATAATGTACAAACTCAGTGAATAATAATTAGTTATTCATTTATCTAAATAAATAGTGTCTCTTCCTTTACATTGAATGTCAACTTAGGAATCAATTGCATGCTTTTACTTAATGTTACCATCGTTTGGCCACAAAACCTTTTTTGTTTGGTGGTAATTAATGGAAAACAAAAACTTTCTTTTACATTTATCAACTTAATTGACTTGTTCAATCCCCTACCTACCTACCTACCTACCTACCTGCCTACCTACCTGCCTACCTACCTACCTACCTACCTACCTACTTTTTATTGTCGAGTAAAACGAAGGCGATAACCCTCGATTTTTGACTGTTGGATAAATTTTTACATTTAATCTAAATAGAAAAGAATCAATTAATAAAATATGTGTTTAAAAATTTGAGATATATTTTTTCTTTATGATAAAGTCATGCACTATGTCAATTTCATTGTTTACAACAGTGTACTAATGCATTGAAAATGCAGTGTCACTTAAATGTAGGTATACATTTTTTATCCGATAATATATACCTTTATGTGCATATTCATCATTTACTGACTCAAAACCTAATCGTCCATGTCCAAAAAAATAAAAACTGTATTTTAACATATTTTTAATGATTCATATTTAATAAGGTGTTCCTTTCATATGTAAAACAATGTATTCATGTGAAAATATACAATATGGAAGAATTTGTACACTGATGCACTTGAATCTCATATGTGTATGAACACAATTTTTGACTAATTATAATTATTTGTTTAGCTGTCTGTCTCTTTAACCAAGTTGTCAAGTGGTAGAGTACAAGTTCGCACATATGATCTAAACGGACATGGCTTTATATCTTTGATGTCAAATAGAGAATCTACTTTTGTTTGAATTATTTAAATTAAATTTCTCAAAATGTGAACTGATATAAGTAATGCCTTATAAAGAAATAGTCGTAATGATCAAGTGTTTTCTATGTACGGGGATTGGAGCTTTGAATAATCAAGGAATAAATGCATTTTGAGATAATAATGTTTGTAAACTTAGCTTTGACAACTGTAACATATCTCAGGTTACTTATTCAAAAACACAAACTTGGAAACAACAAAGTATACCTATGGATGAAGCCTTCAAAATTTTGGATGATCGGATGAGTTATATGGGATCCGGTTATTAAAGGCTTATTACTTTTGGATTATGTTTCTGCTCGAATGCAACACTGTTCATGCATAAAATCCAGCAACTGTTGGAAGGCAATAGGACAAAACATTTCATTTTAAGTAGTGCACGTTGCACACAATTCTAGCTTTATTTTTTAGAACAATGATTGACTACTTGAGATGGAAATGTACACGTGAAATAGATGTATACTTCAAATAATAAAGTTAAATTTGTAATGGTATTCATGAAACAGTTGTTGTTTTTGCATGACTCACTATTTAGTATTCATTGCGATAATTCTTGGTAAGATCAATATGCTTCAACACCGTTCTCAAGATATCATGGTTATCGATTAAAATCCTATCACAAAAAACATTCTACTACTAAGGACTAACCCAACTAAAAACGGCACCTTATCTCTCCGTAATTTTGAGCTCTTGGACTACGAAACATGACTGTCTTGGAGTATACAGCAATGAACTCAGAGTTCCAACTACC